TGAATGGTTAGCTGTTGTGTAACAATTAGGTCAAAAACTCTATTTTCTTTTTTGGTGTAGATGGCCAAGGAAGTTGCACAGAACTTCCCCAACATCCCCTCCCAAATGGATATAGAACCTTCACAAAAACACATGGAGCAACTGCGAAAATAAATGGCTGAGGATATACTAAAAATGTCTGGTATGTAATGACATTTCATTCAAAGTAAATGTCAATTCTTTATTTTTATGTAGTTGTGTGGGACAACCATATGTTCAATTCATGCCTATGATTTCAGAGTTCAACAAAGCCAACAACTGCTTCATGTATGCCACTGATAAAGAACCTGGATGTGGCCCAAAGACTGACTGGGTTAGTAACTTTATTTAACATGTTTATAATCTTTTGACAACAGTGACGGCATGTAAGACAATTTATGATATAACACAATGGATGGCTAATTCGTCATACTGCATTGATATTTGATATTATTTATAACGTGTTACGCTTTGTTCTGTTTTAGATTGAATGTTTTGCATGCCAACGGTGGTTCCATGTGCCGTGCCTAGGGATGAATACAAAAGAGTTCAACAGAGTGAAGAACACAAACTGGAAGTGCTGTCTTTGTTGTTGAAAATGTATGCTATACCCCATCCACACTGAAGAGGCTCTACATTTACATCAACCAGGGATAAAGAGAAAGTTAACACTGTGAAATGTTTTGTACTTTTTTGAAGTAAAGTCTGTTGACATGTTGGAAAAGACTAAAGGTCTACAATTTCGGTTTAATTTGTCAATATTCAATTTTAATTCATTGATTATCTGGCCACCATTATTGTGGTTACATGTTCAGTATACAGTTGAAGTCGGAAGTTTACATACACTTAGGTTGGAGTCATTAAAACTTGTTTTTCAACCACTCCACAAATTTCTTGTTAACAAACTATAGTTTTGGCAAGCCGGTTAGGACATCTACTTTGTGCATGACACAAGTCATTTTTCCAACAATTGTTTACAGACAGATTATTTCACTTATAATTCACTGTACCACAATTCCAGTGGGTCAGAAGTTTACATACACTAAGTTGACTGTGCCTTTAAACAGCTTGGAAAATTCCAGAAAATGATGTCATAGCTTTAGAAGCTTCTGATAGGCTAATTGACATAATTTGAGTCAATTGGAGGTGTACCTGTGGATGTATTTCAAGGCCTACCTTCAAACTCAGTGCCTCTTTGCTTGACATCATGGGAAAATCAAAAGAAATCAGCAAAGACCTCAGAAACAAAATTGTAGACCTCCACAAGTCTGGTTCATCCTTGGGAGCAATTTCCAAACACCTGAAGGTACAACGTTCATCTGTACAAACAATAGTGCGCAAGTATAAACACCATGGGACCACGCAGCTGTCATACCGCTCAGGAAGGAGACGCATTCTGTCTCCTAGAGATGAATGTACTTTGGTGCGAAAAGTGCAAATCAATCCCAGAACAACAGAAAAGGACCTTGTGAAGATGTTGGAGGAAACAGGTACAAAAGTATCTATATCCACAGTAAAACGAGTCCTATATCGACATAACCTGAAAGGCGCTCAGCAAGGAAGAAGCCACTGCTCCAAAACCGCCATAAAAAAGCCAGACTATGGTTTGCAACTGCACATGGGGACAAAGATCGTACTTTTTGGAGAAATGTCCTCTGGTCTGATGAAACACAAATAGAACTGTTTGGCCATAATGACCATCGTTATGTTTGGAGGCAAAAGGGGGCTGCTTGCAAGCCGAAGAACACCATCTCAACTGTGAAGAACGGGGGTGGCAGCATCATGCTGTGAGGGTGCTTTGCTGCAGGAGGGACTTCCAAAGTTGTGGCAAAATGGCTTAAGGACAACAAAGTCAAGGTATTGGAGTGGCCATCACAAAGCCCTGACCTCAATCCTATAGAACATTTGTGGGCAGAACTGAAAAAGCGTGTACGAGCAAGGAGGCCTACAAACCTGACTCAGTTACACCAGCTCTGTCAGGAGGAATGGGCCAAAATTCACCCAACTTATTGTGGGAAGCTTGTGGAAGGCTACCTGAAACATTTGACCCAAGTTAAACAATTTAAAGGCAATGCTACCAAATACTAATTGAGTGTATGTAAACTTCTGACCCACTGGGAATGTGATGAAATAAATAAAAGCTGAAATAAATCATTCTCTCTACAATTATTCTGACATTTCACTTTCTTAAAATAAAGTGGTGATCCTAACTGACCTAAGACAGGGAATTTTTACTAGGATTAAATGTCAGGAATTGTGAAAAACTGAGTTTAAATGTATTTGGCTAAGGTGTATGTAAACTTCAGACTTCAACTGTATGTATTGACCAGCAAACCCACTGCAGCCTATCTTACTGGCCGTGCAGTTCACTCTCCATCCATGCTTTGGACAATTAATAACATGACTCTCGTACTTTTCCTTTTTCCTTTATGGTTGATATTAACGATGAAAGGAGATATTGTCTTTCTCTCTCCTATTGTCTACTGCTGTTAAATACTGTGGCAAAAATAAAGACTTAAGGAAAGGGAAAATAAGTACTCAGAACTACCAATTATTATAGATAATCATTAAAGAAAAGGGTAAACACAACACTGGACTGAACCTCTTAATTATCAAACTAATATTCATGTACAACAATATAGAAGATACATAACTAGAGACTATGCAATATGGGTATATATCCACTGCACACTTCTTATGTGTGTAATTGACATGACCAAGGACCTACTGAAATTCAAAACTATGAAAAATGTATGTAACACTGCATGAGATTACAGTACACAAACGAGTGTGGAATATATTTGGCTAGTCAGTGGACATTCTGAACCTTGTTTGAGTCCAGTAGGTCACATGACCAAGGAGCTATTGAAATTCGAAAAAATGAATATGTGTCTCTGCTATCGGGTTAGCTAGAACCAGTTTAAAAAGTTTTTGGAGTAATGGTTAAATTTTTGGATTTGTCACTATGTTGAAGGTCCCTAACTGCTGTTGGTGGACGTAAGGAAAACTGCAGGCGAATATCCAACCTGAATCTGTCTTTACCTCGGTGGCCAGGGCTCTCCAACCCTGTTCCTGGAGAGCTACCGTCCTGTAGGTTAACTCCAACCCTAATCTAGCACACCTGATTCTAATAATTTAGTGGTTGATAAACTGAACCAGGTTAGTTACAACTGGGGTTGGAGCGAAAACCTACAGGAGGGTAGCTCTCCAGGAACAGGTTTGGAGACCCCTAATGGCTATATGTGATCTGTTGGCTACGCACGTGCCAATACCAGAGTGAGCCCCCCCGCTCTATAACGCAACATTTTTTTTTTGTCAGAAAACCATCAGTAGAGTTGAAAATACGATGGAAACCCATTTCACTTGTATTTTTTATTCGGTACATGGGAATTTAACTGCAAAAGGTATTTTTATGTGCACTATATCATCACGCACAGCCATGTATCTGCAACAAGTCAATTTGATGGAAACATCTCTGGTGGAAAAATGCGCATCTTGTTTTTATGCTGATTTGAGAATATTCGCATGAAAATCTGTTGCCAATTGGCCGGAAACCTAGCTATAGGCTCACAAATAAAGACACTGTTGTTATAGGGGCAGAGATGTTTGAGACATTTTATATGAATACTACATTAATCAAAAGACACCTTTGATTTCAGTGGTGGAAAAAGTACCCAATTGTCATACTTCAGTAAAAGTAAAGATACCTTAATAGAAAATGACTCAAGTAAAAGTGAAAGTCACTAGTAAAATATTACTTGAGTAAAAGCCTAAAAGTATTTGGTTTTAAATATACTTAAGTATCAAAAGTAAATGTAATTGGAAGGATATCATTAAGTATCAAAAGTAAAAGTATAATAATTTCAAATGTCTTATATTAAGCAAACCAGATGGCACAATTTTCGTGTTTTTTAAGTTTATGGATAGCCAGGGGCACACTCCTACACTCAGACATAATTTACAATTGATGCCATTTGTGTTCAGTGAGTCCACCAGATCAGAGGCAGTAGAGATGACCAGGGATGTTCTCTTGATAAGTGTGTGAATTTGACCATTTTCCTATTGTGCTAAGCATTCAAAATGTAACGAGTACTTTTGGGTGTCAGGGAAAATGTATGGAGTAAAAAGTACATTATTTTCTTTAGGAATGTAATGAAGTAAAAGTTGTCAAAAATATAAATAGTAAAGTAAAGTACAGATACCCCCCAAAACTACTTAAGTAGTACTTTAAAGTATTTTTACTTAAGTACTTTACATCACCGTTTGATTTACAGTCATTTGATTTGAGTTTTTCAATTAACAGCAGTGTCACTCAACAAGCCATTATAAAAAGCTATTAGTTTAATCAATAATCAAGTTCTTCAGGTACAATTTAGCAAACTTATATAGAGTAACACAGTATGAGTCATAATACCCATAAAGGCTAGCGGTCAAACAGGGAAATGGTTCAAATAGTTTTTCCACCATTCATTTTTCCCATAGGGGATTTTAGAAACAGTTAAGATAAGGGCTATGTTTCGTGTAGGCTTACCCTGGCATGACATTTTGACCGCTAGGTTTTATGGGTATTATGACACCTCCACTGTGGGGCTCTATTTTTACATTTACATTTTAGTCATTTAGCAGACGCTCTTATCCAGAGCAACTTACAGTTAGTGAATACATATTTTTTTTATACTGGCCCCCCGTGGGAATCGAACCCACAACCCTGGCATTGCAAACGCCATGCTCTATCAACTGAGCTACATCCCTGCCGGCCATTCCCTCCCCTCCCCTGGACGACGCTGGGCCAATTGTGCGCCGCCCATGAGTCTCCCAGCTGCGACAGAGCCTGGATTCGAACCAGGATCTCTAGTGGCACAGTTAGCACTGCGATGCAGTGCCTTAGACCACTGCGCCACTCAGGAGTACATGAAATGAAATACAATTTTGCTAAGCTGAATGTCAAATCGGTTCAAGTACAATTTAGTGAACTTGCTGTTTCTATACAATTAAATTAAAGACAATTCACAGTTATTGGGTGTATACAGTTATTGGGTCTATACAGTTATTGGGTGTATACTGGCACAAACCTATGCAACGCACGAATAGGCATACCATTGATTTTATTAATGAAAAAACAAAAACAAAACGGTTGTATTGAAAGTATATTGTCCACAAGCAAGAGCTTCCAGATCTTAGACAGCAGGCGGAAACAGTTAATATTCTTATATCCCTCCAGTAATATTGATCCTATTTTCCCTTGTGCAGTATTCAGCCACTCTCACTTATTACTATAACTAGTTCTGTGAACAAATATAAAACATTTAGACAGTTAACAATTTAGGAAATAAGAAACTCAATATAATAACTCAATTATAGTTACTTTAGACAGGAAACAACCTTTTCCTCAGAGATCCTTCATTAAACCACAGTGTTTTTCATACCCTCTTGCTCCTGGATATGTAATTTTGCTGCCTAAAAGTAAAAGAAAAGAAAAGTTATATACCAGTAGATCCAAACGGTCTAGCAGCAGTCCATGGCATCCCATTATTATACTGCCTGTCTTGATTAGAGTAGACCGGCATGTAAATCAAATGTACTACATATGAGAGGTCATAAAAGGTTGCGTGTATCTCACCTTTTGGACAAGTGCGTTGGCCTCTATGTCAGCATTGGAGCCATCAGAAGCAGCTCCGTTCTGCACACCGTGAGCCCCAGAGTCCTCAGGGGCCACAGGGCTCTCTATGGTCAGCTGGGGGGTGTCTATGGCCAAGGACTGGAGCTCAACGCTCTCTGAGTTATGGGAGTTGGTCACATCGGAAGTACTCGCTGTCAACGCAGAAGAGCTTTCTTCTTCTTCTTCTTCTCCTTTCTTATCTGAGGGGGTGGAGTGCTGGTCTGAAGCAGGCGCTCCCTCTTTCACATCCTTCTCTTCCTCCATCAGTTTCTCTTCTGACTTCTGGCCGCTGCCAGAGGCCCCTTTTGTGGAGGTGTTATCCCTGCTTTCAGATTCCGTTTTTTTCTCTGCAGTGGGGCCTTCACTGCGAGTGGAGTCTGCGTCCAGGTCTTGGGCCTCTGAGGAGGGCTCTTCAGTAGGTAGGGACCGTGGGGAGACTGCAGTGGTGCTGGTGAGTGACTCATCATAGCGAGGACTACTAAGGGATCTGAAGCTGGACCTGTCTCTAGTCAGGGTGCCTGACTTGCCTGGACTATAACTCTGATGGAAGTCAGAGAAGCTGGCGCTCCACGACCTGGGGGACATGAAAGATCGCCTCTTCAGAGAGCCAGTCCTGAAAGATATGCGAGAGGAGGGATAGGATGACTACATGTTGATACACTTACTTTGCTTTAATTACTGTTATGCTTTATAAAACACCCACTATTTAATTCATCCCAGACCACAACCCATCGATAGACTCAAAATGGGAGGAAAGTTAATAAAGAAAAACAGTGCTGGTGAGAGATGTAAAATCCTAACGAACTTACTGATTCAACCCTTTGACAACAAACACCTTGTCTGGATGCTGATCCTTCAGTTCCTTCATCACATTCTGCAAATCACTGTTGAACTGAAAGAGAGGATTTTACACCAGTTTAAGAATATATATATAAATGCTGACAAAACAGTTCAGTTCATTTTTATAAACCAAAGCAAAGCCCCACATAACTGCTATATTTGGATGTGTATTCCCATCCCAGTTATTGAGAAGAATATGACCTGCACATACCGTAGTCATTTCCTTGAAGAAGGTGTCCCGTAAATTTGAGATGGCTGTGAAGACTGACACATAGCATCCAATTCGGCTTCAGAAACAAAATGGGGAGAAGAAAAAACATTATTCATATCAATTGTCCGCTGCTTTTTCTTTCTTTACACACTTGACCTGATTATGTATTTGTCATTCTGCTATCTGGCTCGGTGCTTACTTCTGACTCCTTACCTGTCATACAGAGCAGGAAGCTCATCCCTCAGCTCTCTGTTGATGCCCTCAAAGACAATCTGGGTTCTGTTTACCTCATCAGCTGCCTGTACCGAGAGACGCAACATGATGAGGTGAGTTTGTAGTTTTGCTTAAATGATCATTGCTGTGCAAATTAAGTAGACAGGGGTATCTTGTCTGTCTGACCTTGGCTATTTTGACATCATCTTTCTTTTTAGCATTCTGCATCGCCTCCAAGTGGTGACGGGAGGAATCGTAGTCGACCAACTTCCTGCCTCGTTTGGCCACCCTCTCCTGGGGGTTGGAGGGAAGGAATAATGCACGTGAGAGATCACATATTTAGGAAGTGTGTGTGTGTTTCCATCCTTACCCTGACATCTGGGAACTGGCTTATGTAAGACTCCATGGTGCGAAGTGCCTTATCTAACAGCTTTGCCTCATAATCATTCCACAGGAGGTCTTCACCCTGTTGCCATATGGAGAAAATGTATTAGATATTTTTACAGAAATGTGCATAATAATAACCAACAGAGTCATGCATGCCATTCTTAATAGTACAGCAGTGCTATGACTGACCTCTACAATGGCCCCCAGGTCCTCTTCTCCATCCCAGTCCGGCTCATAGACATCATACAGAGACTGGGAAAGACGTTTTGAAGCTTCCCGCATTCCTGTGGAAAGTGGACATCTTGGATCACATGTTATCAGGCCGTGGGCACTACTGATGGTGCTAAAGCTATAGAAAACCATGCAATTTGTGGACAACATCATACAGAGCACATGTTTAATTTACAACATAGACGAACTGAACAAATGTTTACCTTTGACAGAACTAATGTAAATCTTCAGGTCCTTGTATAACCGGTTCCCATCAATCTGCAAACAGAGATTATAGAGTGACTCATCTCGTCTGTAAGCTATACATAAATCTATGGGATTTACAGGGGCACATTTACAGGCCCTTGCTATAGGATATAAATCACATATCCGTTTAAGGTTATCGTTACAGGTTCATGCACATGGAATGGTCTGATCTCTGTGTAGTCCTGTACTGTCATGGTGACTACCTGTTGGTAATTCAGATTTAGGAGGTATTGTTCAAATATTTCATCTTTGGTCTCCACTGTCTTTCCAAACTTCTGCAAGACCTAAAAAGTAGGGAATACGAAACATGTCAAACCTCAAACAACTTGAGAATAATATTGTGCATTATATTGAGAAAGTTAAAGTACTGTATACCTTCTCTTTGCCCCTGCTCAGCTGCCTTTGGAATCTTTTAGCAAAGACCTCAGTGCCTCCTTTTGGACCGTTGCCCTCTGCCATCATTTCTCCTTTTCCCTTGTGTTGAGCTTTTTATCCCTGGAAATGTGAAGGTTGAGGAAAGACAAGTTGGATGTATGCCTATTAAGCTCAAGATCAAAAGTGCATCAAACATGTCTAAAGTGTATGCCAGTTTAATGACTACAATTCCCAGTGTTCTTAGCACGCCTATGTCTGATGAATGTATTGCATTATTAGCCCGGGAGGAAGGAAGGCAACTGGCAATAGCTTGAGTTTGAAGTGGAGGGAATACAGGGCTTAGCATGTCTCTCGAGGAGGCTAAAAATAGCTTTTGGCTTGGAAAAGTTGAATATTTTCAGAAGGAGTTGGGTAATTGGTTAAGGGCGGAGTTTTGGAGGGAAAGAGAGAGGAGATTGAAAAGACTGAGGGAGGCAGAGGATTGATTTGAAGCTAGCAATAAAAAGTGAGAGGTTGTCGAGGAAGATTGGTGTCAAGTTCAAACAGATTGAGCCGGATGGCAGTTTGAGTTTTGGAGGTGAAATGGAACGGGTAGAAGGTGTTGTGAGGAGCTCGGAGCCCGAGCCTTGCATTGATGGACATGGTTATGATAAAGATACATTTGGTCCAATAGGAGTGACATTTTTGGATATAGTGGATCCTTGCCTTTTGGCGGATCCATTTGTGGTTTCAGGGTTGGTGTGAAAAGAGTTGGGTGAAGTTGAATCAGTGAAGGTAACCTGTCTTGTGATATTTGTTTGTATTTCTTCTGACCAGAACTAGCGGGAGTTCCGTGTCACACAAATTGGGTCAAGATCTGTTTCTTGCTTTGCTCTTAGGAACAGGGCACCATTAAAATTAGTGATTGTTGGTGTAGTGTTTAGTGTGGAGGTGAAGCAATTGAAGTTGAAGATTCCTGGTGTTTGTGACGCCCACCGTTTGGTGCGACGCAGACCCGGTGGTGAGCGTGGTGAAACAGAGGAGTCACTGTCAGTCCTTTTGAGTTTTGAGTCAGAGTCTTTACCCGACAAGGTCATGTTAGGATATATAAGTTATTCTGTTAGAGCTTTTGTGGTGAATCCACTGCGCTGTTTCAGGTGCAACGTTTATGGTCATGTCGCAGCAGTATGTAGGAGGGAGATTCCAAGATGTGGGAAGTGTGCAGGAGGGCATGGGATAGAGGTTTGTGTAGTTTTGGTGGATAAAGTTGTGTGTGTCAACTGTAGGGGTGCACATGTTGCTGGGGATCGGAAGTTTAATGCAGAAGGTGTCGTATGCTGAGGCAGTGAAGAAAGTAGAGGAGGATGGGTCAAGGGTGAGGGATTCTAAGAGGATCCCTGTGAATAGTAGATCTGTGCCAGCACAGAGAGATAGGCCAATGAGTGATATACAGTATGCTTCAGTAAAGTTGGCTTCTTAGCGTTCATAGCAATGGTTATCAACTGTACCACAGAAATGGAACGTAAATCACAGAAAATAGATGTTGTGGTGGCAGCTGCAGAGAAGTATTTGGGGGTACGAGATTTGACTTCAGAAGAGTTACAGCATGTGTTGAGTGGTAGTGTCCCATCCTCTCAGGCTGTTGGCCTTGGGGTAGGATCAGATAGGGTTAAAGTAGTGGAATAAGGTGATGGGTTTTAATTAGTATAGGGTTAGTTGGTAGGGTAATTAAAATATATGTATATTTTCATTTTTCCCGGTTCGCCTTTAACATTTTGTATCACAAAGTGTAATTGATCTATACTATAGTTCAGTTGGGGGCAGTAATGCAACATATTGGATGCCAACTGCCGTTAAACCTCACCGAAGAAGAAGAAGAAGAAGAAGAAGAAGAAGAAGAAGAAGAAGCCTATTTCCTATCAAATTGTCGTTGGCCACTCCTACATACTATGGAAGTGAACTTTACACAGGAATGTTTTTAAGATAGTGGGGCTGGTCTGATGTTAGAATACAATTAGATGTTTATGCATTTACTGGACCTGATAATGGGGAGTACGATAGCGAAATGTGCAGCTACAGACCTGGGAATCCAGTGGGCTGGATGGGCCATATCAGCAGCTCTCAAAACCGAGAAGTTCTATGATTTAGCAGGTATATATCATGTTGATTTAAAGTATATCAATTCATGCTGAGGCGTGTTTGCAGTGAATCGCTACGATTTCAACCATTGGTTGAATAAGTCATCGAATCTATTAGGTTTGGGCATAGGACTATTCGAAATAAACATTCATGCGGTCAAACAAAATGTATGCAATGGAATTAGGCTTTTTTAAAGTGAAAGTATAGCATTTTGTATCTGATGAATATCAATGTTACAAAACCACTGTTATTTAAACGGTTTCCGTTGCAAGAGGTAATGAATACACCCCAGTTTTCTACAACATTACCACCAACTAACTTAGTCACCCTTGCAAGCCTCTATTCAAAAGAATGCTAAAACAATAATCGATTATCCAAACTCCAAGATGATTTGCCACAAATTGTCACATTGTAGCGTGAGATTGGTGTTAATTTGTATCGTGAGATGTTTACCACAAATTGCTACTTTGTAGCTCGCCCGACTTAAATTTGTACAGTAGATCAATGTTACAATTTTACCAATGCAATATTGCTACGCCCTTCTTGTAGTAAAGGTTAATTCCATGGTACAGAGTGATGCTGATACTCAGATGTTTTACCTTAAAATGTATACCAAGCAAAAAGATTTTACAAAAACACATTTACTTGAAGAACAGTGCAGATGCAAAGTTTGGTAAGAATGACAGTTTGTGCCATCATTCTGTCATAACTTTTTCTGAGTTATTATTGCATGTGTCATTCTTTTGTTTTGTTTTGATGCAACTGTCATTCTGTTACCAAACTTTGCATCTGCACTTGTTTTTGTAAGCAGTTCAATGGAAATTGTTAAAAGTAGTCCTTGTGCATAGTTGTTTGGTTTGTTTAACTTTGCAATCATTGTTTTTTTGTTTGGTATACATTTTTAAGTGAAGAATCTGAGTATCAGCATCACTTTGTTACTGTGGAATTGTCCTTTACCATAGCAGATGTTTGATTGATCGACAAAGAAGGGAATAGCAACATTAACACTCTGTTATCGTAGAATTGCCTTAAACCAAAAAACAGCAGTCGCAACCTTAACAGCAGTCATGTAGGCCCATGTCTTTCGAAGCATTGAATGAGAAAATTGTTGTTGGCTTTTGCGTTATTATAGTATAATATGTTCAACAGATCTGTCTATATATGAACTGTCAAAATGCAAGTTAAAACTGATAGGACAGTATGTGCCATTCAAAATGAACAGAATTTACTTTACCGTTACTTATTTAAAACAATGCAACTTACCTGTAGACACTGTCAATGCAACAAATTAGCTTCTTTAACTTGTCTTCTTGTGCCGCTCCTCTGCTCTGTGTATGCTCGTCTGAAGTTTTACCTTTGAACTTTGGAGCCAATTGTCACTCTGTCTGTAAGCTCCTGGGTAAAATATTAATTGAACACACCTTATTGTGAAACTTCTACCTTTTAGGGTCTGGCACATTTATATTACTTGCCCACCTGAGTCGCTATTGGGGAGGGACTCGTCATTTGAGGCAAAATGTGCAGACTGGATTGGTGACAGCATGGGGAGTAAGGTAAGCTTGACAGGGTCAGGGTGAAAGGGTTTCCAATCTAGTGCACAGGCGGCCGGTGGTACCTTAAATGGGGAGGAGAGGCTCATAGTAATGGCTGGAACGGTATTAATGGAATGGTATCGGAACACTTTCAAACACATGGTTTCCATGTGTTTGATACCATTCCATTCACTCCATTCCAGCCATTATTATGAGCCATCCTCCCCTCAGCAGCCTCCTGTGATCTAGTGTCCAATCCCATCAATGGAGAAGAACAAAACACCTGTAGAGCATTAGTGTTCTCTGCTCATTTGCTTTTCATTCAACAAAGTCGTGTATCAGTTCAGCAGTCTGATTCAAGGCTTGGGCCGGCACAGTGTTGCAGAACCCTTTATGGATGCGAGTCATTATGGTTGAGTTAATGAATAATGCTGGGGTTAATGTGACAACGGTACCTATGTTCTAACTTCTGCAGGCTTGGTACATTCCTTTTCATGCGGATCGTGAAGGACGGCAAGGATCGCAGGTTTAACAATGTCAGAGACAGCCCAGGGACATTCTTTGTGTACTGGAATGTTCAAGGTACTTTGAATCATTATGGTCGCCGGCTTTTCTTTTTCTCACTCAGCCACCACAGCAGTGACTTCCATCATCCTTAAGCAACCCTGTGTAGCCCATTAGGGAATCCACTTTAACTCACTGCTCAGTCTTATTCGCTCCTTATAAATGTATGAGATTAGAATAGCCACTGATATCAGGGTTGTGTGCATTGTGCCCAAATAAATTAGGGTTACCATTGGACACTCAGACAGTATACAGTACTCGTTTGCAAATTTTTTCTTCTATTTTGGACCCTACTTCTATTTTGGACCCAGGTGAATGTCTTGTTGAGTAGGAGCAAGTATTATTTAGACATCTCTGGTCTATTCTACCAATGGTTCAGTACATTATTTGTTCCTTTCAGCTGTCTGGGTGTTTATGACGCTCTTACCCACCCTCATGCTGAACAGTGAGCAGCGAGATGAGCCCTTGGGCCTGAGGGACTACCTGGGCTGGGGGATATGGGGCCTTGGCTTTGCAACAGAGGCCATCGCTGACCAGCAGAAGTGGCTCTTCAAAGGGAACCCAGATAATGCTGTGAGTCAGCTTGGTGGGCTTCCTTAGGGGATGTTGACCTTTTTATAATTCTCATGGATGCAGTGGGGTAGTTGCAAAGTATTCTCACTACAAAATGCTGTGAACACAAGTCACGACCACTCTCAAAACATTGAAAATAAACGTCCTGTATTTGTGTGTTTGTTTATAGTATATTAATTTACCCAGAGAATAGCCTCAATCCAGCCTTTCCATTCTCCCCAGGGAAAGTTCATCCAGAGCGGGCTGTGGGGCTACAGCCGGCACCCTAACTACCTCGGGGAGATACTGCAGTGGTCTGGACTCTGGCTCTCGGCTTCCTCTGTGATGAAGGGTCCCCAGTATGCCAGTATGCTATCTCCTCTGTTTGTCTGGTTCCTGCTGCGTCACGTCAGTGGCATTCCCATTCTGGAAAAGCAGGCCATGAAGAAGTGGGGTTCAGACCCTGCCTTCCAGAACTACGTCAAGAACACTCCTCTCCTCTGGCCAACTCCCAAGTTCTGATGGGTTACACACTTTCTAATAGGGTGTTCTGGCACAAGGGGAACTTTCTGAACAGGACCACTGTAATCATCAAGCACCCAATGTGCTGGTTCTCTACAACAGTATCATATTCGAAGCACACACACTGAAACTTCAAGGTTTTTACTTTTGTTATTGTGCGAAACAAATCATCCAGAGAAGACACAGCCTGACAGACATTCTGAATGTGGAACAAAAATGCTTTGATATAAACTCCCTTTTATGCAATTGCTGTGCAATAGCTTACTGTTGTATGTTTACAGGCAATAAATTAATATGCTCTTTAAATTCCTCAATGTTACCTTTCCTTCCAACTTTTCAGGCATGTAAAAAGGCAGTTCATGCAGTTGACCTACTTGTACAGTGTTACTGTGCATGTACGGTGAGGGAAAAAAGTATTTGATCCCCTGCTGATTTTGTACGTTTGCCCACTGACAAAGACATGATCAGTCTATAATTTTAATGGTAGGTTTATTTGAACAGTGAGAGACAGAATAACAACAAAATAATCCAGAAAAATGCATGTCAAAAATGTTATAAATTGATTTGCATTTTAATGAAGGAAATAAGTATTTGACCCCTCTGCAAAACATGACTTAGTACTTGGTGGCAAAACCCTTGTTGGCAATCACAGAGGTCAGACGTTTCTTGTAGTTGGCCACCAGGTTTGCACACATCTCAAGAGGGATTTTGTCCCACTCCTCTTTGCAGATCTTCTCCAAGTCATTAAGGTTTCGAGGCTGTCGTTTGGCAACTCAAACCTTCAGCTCCCTCCACAGATGTTCTATGGGATTAAGGTCTGAAGACTGGCTAGGCCACTCCAGGACCGTAATGTGCTTCTTCTTGAGCCACTCCTTTGTTGCCTTGGCCGTGTGTTTTGGGTCATTGTCATGCTGGAATACCCATCCACGACCCATTTTCAATGCCCTGGCTGAGGGAAGGAGGTTCTCACCCAAGATTTGACGGTACATGGCCCCGTCCATCGTCCCTTTGATGCGGTGAAGTTGTCCTGTCCCCTTAGCAGAAAAACACCCCCAAAGCATAATGTTTCCACCTCCATGTTTGACGGTGGGGACGGTGTTCTTGGGGTCATAGGCAGCATTCCTCCTCCTCCAAACACAGCGAGTTCAGTTGATGCCAAAGAGCTCGATTTTGGTCTCATCTGACCACAACACTTTTACCCAGTTCTCCTCTGAATCATTCAGATGTTAATTGGAAAACTTCAGACGGGCCTGTATATGTGCTTTCTTGAGCAGGGGGATCTTGTGGGCGCTGCAGGATTTCAGTCCTTCACGGCGTAGTGTGTTACCAATTGTTTTCTTGGTGACTATGGTCCCAGCTGCCTTGAGATCATTGACAAGATCCTCCCGTGTAGTTCTGGGCTGATTCCTCACCGTTCTCATGATCATTGCAACTCCACGAGGTGAGATCTTGCATGGAGCCCCAGGCCGAGGGAGATTGACAGTTCTTTTGTGTTTCTTCCATTTGCGAATAATCGCACCAACTGTTGTCACCTTCTCACCAAGCTGCTTGGCGATGGTCTTGTAGCCAATTCCAGCCTTGTGTAGGTCTACAATCTTGTCCCTGACATCCTTGGAGAGCTCTTTGGTCTTGGCCATGGTGGAGAGTTTGGAATCTGATTGATTGATTGCTTCTGTGGACAGGTGTCTTTTATACAGGTAACAAACTGAGATTAGGAGCACTCCCTTTAAGAGTGTGCTCCTAATCTCAGCTCGTTACCTGTATAAAAGACACCTGGGAGCCAGAAATCTTTCTGATTGAGAGGGGGTCAAATACTTATTTCCCTCATTAAAATGCAAATCAACTTATAATATTTTTGAGATGTGTTTTTCTGGATTTTTGTTGTTATTGTCTCACTGTTCAAATAAACCTACCATTCAAATTATAGACTGATCATGTCTTTGTCAGTGGGCAAATGTACAAAATCAGCAGGGGATCAAATACTTTTTCCCCCTCACTGTAGTCTAGGACCAAGTTATTCCTAACAAAGTAGGATGGCATTTTCCCTTCCTGGGAGCGAGTGGCGTAACAGAACATGTTGTAGAGCAGAGACCTGACAGGCCCCTGCTGCCTTCTGAATTACCTGTCATGCTTTTGTTCATGTTTTCAGCAATACCAGAAAATGCAATAATGAGACAAAGACAAGTTTAAATGTACCGTATACTGTATTTACAAATCACATACATAGTGTGTACTCATGTACTTGTACAAAACAACTGGTCCACAAAAAGCTTTGATCAAAGCAAATTTGACATTCTTGTTGAAATGCCACCATTTCTACACTCGGGTTCTCTGATGAAGTATTCGATGCAGTTACGGGTGCAGAACATTACAGCCAGAACCAACCTCCCATCGTGCAAACAAAGATGGTCATAAAGAGAAAGTCAAACTGAAGACCAGAGTCATATTGGCCAATAATCACAATGTCCAAGGACTACTTGAAGTGTAAGTTATATTTTTAGAACACTCAGGAAAGGAAACAAGGAAAGGTGAATTTCTTTCAAATGTATAATCAAGTTGCAAAATGAGCTTAAGTCACCAAGCATACAGCTGCATGGTTACCGCTAAGTTAGTTGATTATTGCCAAAGAACGCTGCAGACATCTTATCAAATTTGCAGAATTAATATTACAATACTGTGGCTAGTCTTGAGTATGTAAAAGACAAATGGAGTTAAACATGTACAATCAAACTGCTTAAGCATGTAGACATTACAAAGGTGATTATACAAATAAACAGGAAAAGATAACATCAAAAAAATGAATGCCATATGCAGTAACTCTATTCAAGCCGGTCATAAAAAGCTCTATGCAAAGTTGTTTTCTAACTGGTGATGTGCAAGTTAAATATATAAATATAAGATCAACCTTTTTTCTAAGAAAATCACCCGCCTAAATTCAGACATGCGCATTCTCAACCAATGTTCAACATTTCCTTTGTAAATAAATCACAGAAAGATTCTGAAGAAAACATTGCATCTACAAACCTAGTAGGTTTCATTGCCCGAGGTTGTTAAATCTTGATTTAGAGCTTTTTTTTTATTTTTTTATCAGAGCACCAGAAGAGACTTTCCCTTTTGGTTGGAAAAATATCCTGTTACACACATAAAAACCATACCATTTTGAAATATAAAACACATAAAATAAGTGTTTACAGTGTCTGTGGAAGCATTACTGTCTCAGTCTTCTGTAAAATTGTATAAAATAAAAAAGTTAAAATCAATCTATTGCTAGGTATTGCAGTTATTTCCCATTAGGTGAACCGAGCTGCCCTGTGGCTGCTTTGGATTACTTGAGGAGCGGCGATGCAAAGAAGTTTCCTGGGCGACTGGTGAATCCCACTACCACGGCAGACTTGCTCTTACTCCCAAATCTGAAAGTTACAACACAGCATTAGTCAGGCATTATTAGCCAACAGAAACCAAAGTTATAAGAAAGTGTAATAAGACTTTGGTGAAAGATTTACTCATGTCATCCACCTTTACAATCTGATAATTTGGGAAAAATGTACTCAAGCCTGTCAGTTTTGTAGACCAATGGTGTTTGCGTCGAGACTAGTGATAAACCAAGTCCTTCAGACAGGATCTTCATACACATTGCAGTGACCTACTACAACACAAATGCTGAATAAGTAAAATGCATGACAGGACAGAGTGCTTACTTGGGTGTCGTCTTGCTCAGGGTGGACCTCATGCGTTGACCCAGGGAGCTGGAGGACGGGGTTTTGTTCATCTGGTGGTGCTCTGGAGTGGTGAGGGGACCCAGCATGCTCACTGGAACAATATTAACACAGTCAACATTAGTCACATCACCACAGTTAGTTACCAACCTGTATATTTGTATTAGTTCTTATAAATAATAACAATACTTTCCTTAAATCTTCAATATAATAACACATGAACCTAATAGAGATTTGGTTTTGGGTTGCCAAGATAACGCTTTGCTAGAATCATGCACTCGCTCACCTTTCTGGTCAGGGGTATAACAATTAGCGTTCTCGATGATCATGTGATCAGGATGCGGCTGGTCATGGTCCACCATCATGAACTGGCTCCAGTACTCCACCGGCATGCCCAGCAGACGCTCAATAACCTGGGTAATAATATAAAAACATTAGCTACTATAAATGACTCCTGAGGGGAAAAATACAAATGTATTGAATTTAAACGAATTACAGCCTATTGCCTCATCCTCTTTCAAGCGGAAGCTAAACAGATCAAACAACTTGCAAGACTATATAAAAATGGTCATCATGTCATTTTTGCAGCCCATGTGTTTTTGTGAAGAAATACTACCAGTTAAACCAAGAGCTGTGTTGTTGTAACGAGTCTTACCTTGGGCTGGCGTTTGGTGTCCTGCAGTATTGCCATGGGCTCTGGGTCAGGCACTGCATGGCCAACAATAGTAGGCCCAAACACCCGTGCCAGGTTGGTGATGTCCATCTTAGTGCCCAGGCTTTGGGCGACCCTGAAAAAGTTAATGGTGGTCAATAAGGAGCCCATGTATGGAAAAACATACTTTAGTGTCACAGAGTGCAACAAGCATGGCCTCTTTCTACAAGACATGTCAAGAAAGGCCCTGTTCATATACAATTAAGTGAGCAAGCAGAGCTCATAGTTAAATGCACAGCAGAGGCTCACCTCTGGAGATGAATGGCCATGAAGGCCAGGGTGTCTCTGTTGGCCTGTGGCAGGTCACTGATGGTCTGGTACATCAGGGCAATGCTGTTATCCTCATCCACAAGCTCTGAGGTCAAAGAGTTGAATGTCAGTAGAGATCACAGAAGTTGAGTTGTAGAAAAATAAAGTGTTTTACTGCAGAGGAAGAATGTAACATTGCAGGGACTTAGTAACTATAGTTATTGGTGGCTAAGAATATTATGAAGGAACACTGAAAAATTCCACATTGACTATTACTAACCAAAACATTCAGCGTGCCCCAAGACAAAATGGCTATGCAAAGCGACCACAAGACACCCTTATTCAGTCAACTAGTCAACCACTGGCCAAACTAACCACAGAGATTGATAAAGTTATATTGTTTAATCTCTATAGAGCCAATACCCACCTGCAGCCTCCATGAAGGTGCGGTTGAGGCGGAAAGTGAGGAGGGGCTCTTTGAGGTTCCTGAGGAAGTCCTTGAGGAGGCCAGTGATGCAGTGGATATCTTCCACCTTGCTGAGCAGCGGGACAGTCTTCCCACGCAGGAACTTCTCCTTCAGTTCCTTCACTGTGCGGTCAGAACCAGACAGCCGATAGAGGCCGGTCTGGGAGAGAAAAGAGCATGTTGAAACTGGGATCATTTATAGAGGCTGTTAAAGCTTTATAAAGCGATAAACACAGTAGAGATGTCAAAGCTATAATATTACTGTATAAACTAAGCCATAAAAGGCAGCAATGATTCAGCCCAGTGAGATTGAGACAAAAACACTCACCTCATGTAGGCCCCTCTGCTCAATCTCACTGACGCAGTGCACCACCAGAGAGGGAATCATGGGAGATTGGACATGGGAGACATAGTCTGCAAGAGTGCCCTAGGAAGGAAATAAAAGTAAAAGAGATAATGTTTATCCCATTGAACTAAACTCATGAGATATTTAAAGAAAAACAGATTTACATCAGAATTAAAGTATTGGAATATAAGTGGAGAAGTACATAAATGAATTTTCCCTTACCTCTCCAATTTTGACAGGCGTGCCACCCAGGATGGGGATGCATGGCAGGGGACAGCGTTCACGACACTCTGAGTGGGTGACCACTCTGCAGTCACGGCACTTCAGGGAGATCTTCCCAAACTTGATCCTCTTGCCACAAGGCACACACGACTCAGGCTTGATTACCTGGGCAGGCGGTAGAACAAAGCTTTTAACTCTAAAATAAGAACCAAAGCAACATTTTCGGCCTTGCTAAATTCATCTCAAGTCACTCATGTACTAACCATCTCTGCCTGAAAACAAATTACATTCCTACCGTTTTGGAGACAAATTCGTGATTACGGACACCCCCGTTGCCCTGGGGTGTGCTGGGTTCCTGAGGCCTGCTGTCGCTCTCTGGCCGGTTGGGCTGTTTGGGCATGACATCCTCAGACTTGACTGACTCAGAGTCCCACTCCAGTGTAGCTGAACAGGAGAGAGAGTGTGAGCGAGAGAAAGGTCTGAGGTCAAATACAGATCAGAGTCTGAAAATGCAGTTCTGATGAGTTATGAACATACATTTGTCACATTGTCAAGGATCAATTAATATAGTCTAGCTGCATGCTTCTTTCCAAATGAATATCCTATCATGCTTCAACATACAATACTAACAAACTCAGAGTAAGATACAATCTTCCATTGATCAAATCTACAGTAAATGAGTAAGAGCTCTTACCAGTCTTTCTCCTGCTCCGAGTCCAGTAGGGAACAGCCTCAATAGTAGAGACGGCTTCGATGGGTCCTCCGTCAGCAGGCACAGTCACTGTGGTCTTGGCCACAAGAGACTCATTTCCCTACGACCATTAAGCATAACATCAGTCAAGTCACTGTAAACCTCAACAGCTCTCAGTTATCTATAGAAATTAAACAAAAATCTTTACCATCTCAGAAGTTCTGCCTGTTGATCGAGACCTCTTGGAAGCACTTGGGGGGCCGTCAATTACATTTCTGGAGGCAGAGCACTGTAATGAAGAGGTCAAATGTTAAAAACCACACACCTTCATTCACACATTCAAGAAATGATTGGCAAATATTTTTCATCCAATAAACTTTGTTTACCCGTTTTTCACGTTTCTTCAGTCGCATAGTTCTCACGATGGATGAGTCCCAGTCCTGGAATGGATAATCAAACAAACGGACCAGGTTCATTAATGCAAATACCCTATATATACAAAAGTATGTGGACACCCCTTCAAATTAGTGGATTCGGCTATTTCAGACACACCCGTTGCTGACAGGTGTATAAAATCGGACACACAGCCATGCAATCTCTATAGACAAACATTGGCAGTAGAATGGCCTTACTGAAGAGCTCAGTGACTTTCAACGTGGCACCGTCATAGAATGCCACCTTTCCAACAAGTCAGTTCGTCAAATTTCTGCCCTGCTAGAGCTGCACCGGTTATTGTGAAGTGGAAACATCTAGGAGCAACAACGGCTCAGACGCGAAGTGGTAGGCCACACAAGCTCACAGAACGGGACCGCCATGTGCTAAAGCTCGCAAAAATAATCTGTTCTCGGTTGCAACACTCACTTCCGAGTTCCAAACTGCAACGTCAGCACAAGAACTGTTTGTCGGGAGCTTCATGAAATGGGTTTCCATGGCCAAGCAGCTGTACACAAGCCTAAGATCACCATGTGCAATGCCAAGCGTTGGCTGGAGTGGTGTAAAACCCGCCGCCATTGGACTCTGGAGCAGTGGAAACGCGTTCTCTGGAGTGATGAATCACACTTCACCATCTGGCAGTCGGACGGAGGAATCTGGGTTTGGCGGATGCCAGGAGAATGCTACCTACTCCAATGCATAGTGCCAACTGTAAAGTTTGGTGGAGGAGGAATAATGGTCTGGGGCTGTTTTTCATGGTTCGGGCTAGGCCCCTTAGTTCCAGTGAAGGGAAATCTTAATGCTACAGCATACAATGACATTCTAGACGATTCTGTGCTTCCAACTTTGTGGCAACCATTTGGGGAAGGCCCTTTCCTGTTTCAGCATGACAATGCCCCCGTGCACAAAGCGAGGTCCATACAGAAATGGTTTGTCGAGATCAGTGAGGAAGAACTTGACTGGCGTGCACAGTGCCCTGACCTCAACCCCATCGAACACCTTTGGGATGAATTGTAACGCCAACTGCGAGCCAGGCCTAATCGCCCAACATCAGTGCCCGACCTCACTAATGCTCTTGTGGCTGAATGGAAGTAAGTCCCTGCAGCAATGTTCCAACATCTAGTGGAAAGCCTTCCCAGAAAAGTGGAGGCTGCTATAGCAGCAAAGGGGGGACCAACTACATATTAATGCCCATGATTTTGGAATGAGAGGTTCGACGAGCAGGTGTCCACATTCTTTTGGTCATGTAGTGTATATAGCAAATTATCATCTCAATTACATACTGTATTGGTTGTCTTAGCCATTCTCCCTGCTAATGGTTTGGCTATGAGTAATATACTTAATGGTTCAGAGGCTCAAGCATTTAAACAAGAAAAAGATACAAGCTTACCAGAGAGTCATCTGTTTTATCATAGCTGATGTCTGATAAAATGGAGGCAGACTCGTCAATGGTCTGCAATCTACGGAAAACAAAATGAAATGCTGTAACTTTTCTGTAACACTTCAGATGCTGATATGTTAACAGAAAAGGCTTTGATAAGCTTTCCAACTCAGGAAGAGGAGCAAAGGCACTAGCAGGGGATCCTTACCTTCTGCTGGTGTTAAGGTTGGCTGGTGCTGCCTGAGATCGAGCGTTGAGGAAAGCCAGAGCAGAACGCTGCTCTTCATTCAGCTGGATGCTGTTGCTGGAGCCCTCAGTGATCAGAAGCTCCCGAATCAGCTGAATCTGGCGGTCCTGTAACACAGCAGAGCACAGGGAGAACGGAGGAGGTGAGAGGAGTTATATAAAGCCATTCAACAGTTTCTTCAGAGAAGAGTGAACCAGTCTGAGGCTACCAGTGAAGGCAAAATATGAAGAAACGGACTGTCTGTGCATACACACCAACTTCTCACAGTCAGCCTCTGCCTTCTGGCGCCGGCGGATCTCCACGTCGACTTGATTGCGAGCATGCTTGAGTTTAACTTCCAGGGCTCCCCTCTCCGTTTCTGCCTTGGCAAGCACTTCCTTGCAGGACCCCAGGTCCTGCTCAAACCTGAGCCATCTACGACGGCAGTCCTCAAAGTTGAGGGCCATCTGGATGAACTCTGATAAGAGAAGATGCAGAATAAGGTGTGGTAGCGTTGAATACATCTTGTCCAGCATTGTCTATATTATTAATCTCCATGTCAAATCAAATGAAATATTAATTACTTACGGGGTTCAATGCTCTCATTGAGTATGTCAACATGAGACCGCAGATTGTCAAACAAGCTGTGTAGGTTTAACACAGCAGTGTCCATCTTCTGAGAAAAATAAGGCACATAGAAACCATTAATTATAATTAACTACTATGGCAATGAAAATACGTTTGCTAAATGTCAATAGGTGAATAACCTCGTCCCCAGGCTAATTGCAGATGGGCGAAAGTGTCTGGTGGTGGTGAACCCTAGCTAATAATTAATCATAGCTAACTATGATGAACAGATCAACTGTCTTTGTTAACAATGAAGAGATGGGTAAACAGGCTGATTTTCCTAATCCAAAAAATAGCACTGAAAATGATTTAAAAGCCATTTCCCAACATTAGCTAGCTACTGTAACGTTAACGAACCAAATTTGCCACATAAAAGTAACCCAAATTAGCTCAAACCTGCACATACAACATACAATTTAGTTCGAAGGAAAGCAACAGTAGATTTAGCTCAGAAGCTAGCTGGCTACTGTGGGTAGCCAACATTGCTGGTGATATGTAATTTTAAAAAAACGACTGTACAGCTAACAGTTAGCTACTAGCATGCTAAAGTTAGCTGCCACTACAATTACATACCGTTTGAGTTCACCACAATAATGAGAAAACAGAAAAACCTTTGACCTCTGTTTTTGCACTGGATGATCAAGTTTGTTATTCTTGTGTTAGGGTTATCTCACGCTCAGCTCCTGGACGTGTGTACAAGAAGCAAGACAGGCGCGTTCCATTTCAAATTTCCCCGCTAGCCAATGAATATCAACTGACGTTCTTCACGTAGCTGTAAATCAACGCGAACGTTTAAAAAAATACAAATACCCTACCAACACTCACATATATATAACTTATATATAACTTGCCATACCCTACCATCTAACACTCACATTTATATATATATATATATATATATATATATATATATATATATATATATATATATATATATATATATATATATATATAACTACCATACTCCACTATTTAAATCTATTTATTCCTACTTCATGCCAACAGCCTGAAAGGATGGGACACCACCACTTAACACACCCTGTAACTCTTCTGATGTCAAATCTCGCACACCCAAATACCTCTCTGCAGCTGCCACCACAACCTCTATTTTCTGCGATTTACGTTCCATCCCTGCAGTACAGTTGATAACCATTGCTATAAATGCCAAAAATCCAATTTTACTGAAACATATATCACTTGTTGGGTTATCCCTCTGTACTGGTACAGATCTGCTACTCAGTATCATTCCTCTCAGGATCCCTCCCCCATTTTTACTTGGACAACTTGTGAACGTTGCAAGTGCATTCATCCAGACCAAGTGCTGAAAGGAGCACGATTTAATTCTAGGAAGAAGCTTGTTGAAGACAGCAAAGATGATTGCCACCACTCAACAGAACATGGCCACGGACCTGGTAAATGGTTTAATCTACTCAATACTGTTTCATATTTTTTTAGTTGTTCCCAAGATTTATTTTATTTTATCACAGAGCAGGATCTGTGTTAATCTCATAGCATGAAGCTCTCTGATGAGCATGGCTATAACATGACAGTCGCAGAAGTGTGTGTGTGTGTGTGTGTGTGTGTGTGTGTGCGTGCGTGCGTGCGCGTCCGTGTGCATACATACATGTGCGCGTATGCGCTTGTAGGCTAGTCTAAATGCGCCTGATTTTTTAAAAATATCTCTGTTGTGACCAGTCAGCAATTGTTTTTACATTTAAATCAACATGATGTGATTATCGATTATTAAATGGCTTTCCTTTGTGCTCTTTTATTCGTACTTAATATATCTAATCAATACAGTCATCTTTTGAACAAGCTGCTGTGTGCGGTATTCCCCTCTTCTATCGCAAGCTGATTTGATGTAGTGATTTTTTTTTTTTTACTGATTCAGTTAAATTATGTAGGTTATATTTGAAAACACATCATACTGCGTGTCCGTTGCGGTTATAGCAATTAAAATGCTGTAGTCATGGCTTACCAATGCCAAAGGGCATATAAGCCTACTTTATTATTTTATTTGTTGCCCACAGCATGTTGATAAAGAGAGATCTGCAATCAAAGTGTGAATGAGGCACACAATTTGCAGCATGTCATGGACAATCAAATGTATTCTGTAATTTTATCAAGTGTATAGGAAATCTACCAACTCAATTAAGTTGATGTAAAATCTGAATAGCAAAGTTGATTTATTTAACACCAGACCTTATTTTACCAGCATTTCCATTTCACACTTTTTGCCACTGATTTTAATGTCATATTAATTTCCCCCTTCTACTGAATTATGTCCACTGCATGGTCATTCAGTAGTTCTGTGAGCCCATTCAAACAGAGAAGTTGCAACAGTTTTGCATGTAGCTAGCTCTACTTGCAGGCTGTCAATAGGTTGCAGAATTACTGACGCTCCAGAAATGTCCAGAAATGTAAAAATGACAAAATGTGACTGTAGTTGGGTGCATCTTTGTGGACAGTTGCTGATAGCTGCGTACGTGCTGTCTTTAATGAATTCTCTGAGAATTACATTGCTCCTGGAGATTAGTTAGTGTTGCGATATGCTTTCCATCTACAGCAATACTTTATAGCCTTGCCAAGTTGTCTAATTAGGAATACATATCACCCATCACCTTCTCAGCGACAGCAGCAATTCAACCATGACAGCATTTTCAGTTCAGCGCTGCACTATTCATATGGTTGACAAATCATGTGTCAGACTGTCAACAACATTGTTTTTAAGCAGTGCTGTATTCGGTTGCATTGGTATTTTTTATAGTGTGCAACATTGTGAATAATTGAAAATAGATGATAAATATCTTGTCTGTCTGAAGTGGCCAGTGGGGAATGTTTTATGTCTCCCCGCAATTTACAATTGATCCATTCAATTTTGTAGGTTAAACAAGGAAGCTATAAAACACTAGTCAGTGTATCTTTTCCCAAGCAAATGTTTCTCTGTGTTATTATGGCCCAGTCCTTTTATTTTACACAGCCAAGCAATTCATATAATACTGCAATACCGTGCTTGGTTCTGTTTCCACAGATTTGATCTGTGATGAGGTGGTTGAACCAGATGAGTCTGTGCTTTAAAAGGATGCATTTATCAGTCCCGTATCAGGACATGCACCTCTCTCTCATTTTAGCATATGCTCTTATCCAGAGCAATTAGTGTTAAGTGCCTTGCTCAAGGGCACACAGACAGATCTTTCACCTAGTCAGCTCAGGGATTCGAACCAGCGACCTTTCAGTTCCTGGCCCAACACGCTTAACCGCTAGGCTACCTGCCGCCACTTTCATGTAGTTCTCCTCTCCCTCATGGTTTACAGCGTTATCACACTCCCTTCTCCCCAGGGCGGACACAGCTATGTAGAGGAGTGGGATAGGTTAAGGGTACGTTCAGCAGCCATACAGTATACCGAGAGCCTTTTTGTACAGTCATTTGCTAATGCTTGGTGGGATGCATGAAAGGGAATGGAGAAAAGGGCTGCAGGGCTCACAGCAGAGGAGGCTTAAAGCAGTGGATATTTCCATGCGACTGTGGCAAGTGCAGCTGCATATATGGTATTAGTCCTTAGGGCAAATGTGTCAGCCTCCTTAACCCAAATCCGTAGCCTACCACCTACAACCTTTTAGGATGTGAGAGGCAAGTGAGAAATAATACTGCCAAATAAATGGCGGTATAGAGCACAGTGTCTATTGAAATTGGATTATCCAAAAGGTCACTTCAATCATGGTGATACAGCTTTCAAATCCTTTGAAGTCTATAGCAGAGCACTGGCGGTGCTGTTGAGGTCCATGCACCTCACCCCAGTTATATCCATTTAAACCAGTCAAAAAAGTGGGAGACTGCTTCATAATGGCTACCATTTAACTGAGGTACCAAAGAGATATTGACATGGCAATACATTCAAATAAAAGTTATGTGTTAATGGTTCATCTGCATTTGTCCCGTGAGATCAATTACAGTGAATCATTAAAACAAGATGCTGGTAGGCTTATTGTATCTTCCAATAAATATTTGCTATCACAGTTTTGTCTCCTAAAATGTAATGGTTGACTGGATTGATTGATCTTCAAATGTCAAATGTCATGTCTTGGTACATCTTGTTTTTCTTGATAGTTACTAATGGTTGGTTGCTGCAGAATTATGTAGCTGGTGGGATTGGGATATGTAGATGAGAGTCAGCAAGTCTCAACAATAGCTTCAATAGCTGTGATTCTGCTCCAGATGATTTATTGTGGTATTTTCACCGCCTGTTCCAAAGACAGAGAGACAAGGAGATCCCCAGAGTCTAATTTATGAATTGATAACAGTCCTATGGAATCTCCCACCAACTACAGTGAGGGAAAAAAGTATTTGTTCCCCTGCTGATTTTGTACGTTTGCCCACTGACAAAGAAATGATCAGTCTATAATTTGAATGGTAGGTTTATTTGAACAGTGAGAGACAGAATAACAACAAAAAAATCCAGAAAAACGCATGTCAAAGATGTTATAAATTGATTTGCATTTTAATGAGGGAAATAAGTATTTGACTCAATCAGAAAGATTTTTGGCTCCCAGGTGTCTTTTATACAGGTAACGAGCTGAGATTAGGAGCACACTCTTAAAGGGAGTGCTCCTAATCTCAGCTTGTTACCTGTATAAAAGACACCTGTCCACAGAAGCAATCAATCAATCAGATTCCAAACTCTCCACCATAGCCAAGACCAAAGAGCTCTCCAAGGATGTCAGGGACAAGATTGTAGACCTACACAAGGCTGGAATGGGCTACAAGACCACCGCCAAGTAGCTTGGTGAGAAGGTGACAACAGTTGGTGCAATTATTCGCAAATGGAAGAAACAAAAGAACTGTCAATCTCCCTCGGCCTGGGGCTCCATGCAAGATCTCACCTCGTGGAGTTGCAATGATCATGAGAACGGTGAGGAATCAGCCCAGAACTACACGGGAGGATCTTGTCAATGATCTCAAGGCAGCTGGGACCATAGTCACCAAGAAAACAATTGGTAACACACTACGCCTTGAAGGACTGAAATCCTGCAGCGCCCGCAAGGTCCCCCT